CGTGAACACCAACTTTGGGAGATACTGCTTCTCCGGATCAGGTATATTCCTCCCATTTATCTTTTGGTTCAGATCTGGTTTGATTATGGTTCAAGTAGGATCCTTGAATATTGTATTCTAAATCTAGGGAATATGATTCCCAGTTGGGAGAAGGTAGAAAATTTTTGAAATTCGCCCCACCCATTCCGCAACCTTTATGGCGTCCATTAGATGGATCCTACCATTCTTTTACAAAATTGGACGGATCGTCGATCAGGGGGTTGACAAAGGTTTAGATGAGATTTGGTGGTGGGGAATGGTGTTTCTTGGTGTAAATCTTGAGTTTGACGGGTATCTGGCAATGTGAGTGGTTCATTCGGAATCTTTTTGAATGAAGGGTAAAATTGTCATTTTGAGGTACAAAATTGGATGGATCGTTGATCAAGGAGTTAATAAGGGTTTGGATGAGGCTTGGTGGTGTTTCATAGTGCAAATCTTGATTTCGGAGGACATCGTGTGGTTGATTCACAGTCTTTCTAGATGTAAGGTAAAATTGTCATTTTAAGGTCCAAAATTGGACGGATCGTCGATTAGGGGGTTGACAAAGGTTTAGATGAGGTTTGATGGTAAGGAATGGTGTTTCATAGTGTAAATCTTGAGTTTGGCGGGTATCGAGCAATGTGACTGGTTCATTTAGAATCTTTTTGGATGAACAACGAAACCAAAGAAATTATGGCTGAAATTTGGCATGATTGGTTGTTTGAAAGTTTGATTTCATGTGGTGTGGTCTGATCGAGTAACGGGTATGGTGATGTGGCATAATTGGGACCATCAAAAGGGAATCCTATGGATTTAGCGGTGGGTTTGAGGGTATTTGAGTTAAAATCTGATTTATTAGGATTTTGGCATGTTTTGAGGAAGTTGGTGAGGTTTAATCAGGTATTTGGAGTGCGAAAAGTGGGTTAGAGAGGGGTTCGAGCAAAAACTGGGTGTTGACACCAATGTTGGGCCACATTAACCACCATGAAGAGATTTCCAACTTGCAAATGTATGAACAACTTATTCTTTAAACTATTTTCTTGTTTTTTTAAAAAAATATTTTTAACCTATTTTCATTGGTTTATTTTTTTGTCATTAAGGTAGCAGATGGTTTTCTATTCTTTATTTCCACCATTTGGTGGGTTAATTTTTCATTTCCGTTACCTTAAAGCCCACACAATTGGAATATTAGATGGCAATATATCTACAAGAGTAAGTGATCTTTTTTATAGCAAATCGTTGTAAGGTTTTCAACAGTTGAGGGAGCTGAAGTTGGATTTATCATACAAAGGTAACGAGAATTCAAATAAAATTATGATGAAGGTAATTGATAAAAATTATTAATTTTATTAATGAACCATATAAGATTTTTATTAATGATAAATAAGAATAATAAGAGTTTTATTAATGATAAATAAGAATAATAAGAGTTTTATTAATGATAAATAAGAATAATAAGAATTTTATTTGGCTATATCTTTATACTAATGAACCATAATAAATGTGATAAATAAGAATGATTTTTATAGATGTAGAAATATAAAAAAATTGCAAAAAAAACAGAGAAATATATTATATACATCTGTCACTAATAAATAAGAATAACTTCTGCATGTATATTATATTGTATACATGCAAAAAAAAAAACTTAGACTATATATATAACTGTTGGTTTTATACATCCACGTTTTTAAAATGCAATAATGGTCAACATTATCCAAAAGTGTTTGCTATTAGAAAACTGTTGGGTTTCAAACACCCTTCTCTCATTAGGCTCAATTTGGAAGGAGTACAAATATAAATATGTAGAGTGCAAAACTTTGTATTTTGTACATGGTTTTTAAAACCGACTTGGTGACCGAACCGGTCAGGGGTTCAGTTACTAGGTCGAATGGTCCAACCGTTTAAATCAATCCCTCAGCCCGCTCTAACAAAAAAAATAAAAAAATTCAAAAAAATAAAAAGGTCAAAATCGTTCAAACGGTTAACTGCCTGGTTCAGCGGTTTGCTGACCAAAATCAACGGTTTTGGGGGAAAATTCAGTTTTTGGAGAAAACAGAACTGGTCACCTGACTGGTTCCCGATTTTTCCGATCCGACCGTCCGGTCTAGTCTGATTTTAAAAGCCATGATTTTGTATGTATTTGCACTGTTTGCATTTATACTCTTTCCAAACTAAGCCTTATTTTGTATTATTTTGTATGCATTAATTAGTCTCATCTTGGAAGTAGTACAAATACAAATATATAGAGTGCAAAACCCTATATTTTTTATGTATTTGCACATACATATCTATATTTGTACTCTTTCCAAACTTAGTGTTCAACTACTAAGTACTAACCATGTATATGTTACTCCTTTGTCCAAAAGTTTCAAACTAGGAAGTAATAAAGCATCTTTGCGTGCGAAGCCTGTACTGGGATCAAGAGCTTAATTTCTAATATCCTTAAATAACTTTTTTACTGCCAAATGTGGTCATACAAACAATGGCGAAATTCCAAACAATAGGTCTACTGAAGCCATCGAGAGCATCTACCAAATACCCCTTAATACATTATTGGAAGCCCTGAGAAAGAAACTGATGCCAAAGGAGATCAAAAACCATTTGCATGGAGTGATCCTCTCCCCCTCCCCCCCTCCCCCCAAAAATAAAAAAGAAAAACAGGAAAAATGTCAATGCAATGAATAACCAAGATTTACACGCAGTTACAGGAACACCATTTTGATGTTTGTAATAATTGGCAAGTATTGCAGCAAACGACTAATTGCACCAATTTTTAATAAAAAAGCAAACATATTTCTTGCAGAACGTCGCATAATCAGGGGGTTGCATTGATGATTATGGTGAACATGGTAAAAAAATGCAATGATACCAAACACCATCCCAAAAGCACAGTTGCACACTCAACAAACCAGTTGTATCTGCACCAAGCAAAATGAACAAACTTCATACGGTGAAGGATCATAGGTACATTATACATTTAATATTTGATTTGATTCCTGCTTCAACAAAGTTAGCCTTGGTTTAAGACAAATCAATTACAAATCCTCCTAAGCTTGGGGTAGGGGGAAACTTACACCTACAATGACTTCTCCATTAAGTCCTTTGCGAAGATGTACCGGAACCTCGTATTGTAAGGTAACCACTCCACAATTTGTGATGTTTTCCTCTTAGGTTTACAATCAATGCATTTTCCAATTAAATCATGGAGCTTCTTATCTACATTCAAGGAAACCCACTTCAAAAGATCATCTGAGGTGATAGAGGCCTCTTTGGCATACCTCTCTAGTAGTTTAGGTAGAAAGACTTTTCTTGACTTCTTAACAACTACATTAGCTTGCAGATACTCCTTCTTGGCTATTTCTAGCTCCTCCATGACATTTGCGGCAGTGTAGACTTTTAGCTATAAAAATACAAAAGATGCCAGGATAAGAAACTACCAAATGCAGTTCAAAACAAATCATTTCTTCTTTGTCCCCCTCCCCCAATTTGATATTGGACATTGAACTATAGAGACTAAACTGGCTATCCTAAGAGAAGCAGAAATTCGTTACATCTCAGGCAATTGTAACTCACTTAACATAGTAAAAGTAAAAGGGTAGTTAGACTTGCTATGCTTTTTTTTGACAAGTTAGACTTGTTATGGTTAAGCAATAATATTTTGGTAAGTATTAACGACCGTGACTAATGATGCGGCCCATTTATTTCCCAAAATTTGGCTTGTTATATAACCAAATTGAGCTCAGATCCAGGTCTGCATGGGGTGGGGTTTGGCGCAATGGTTGGGTTGCTCCATTGCGACCTGGGTGACCACGGTTCAAATCTTGGAATCAGCCTCTCTGTATGTGCAGGGGTAGGCTGTGTATATCTATCCCTCCCCAGACCCTGCATTGGTGGGAGTCTCGTGCACTGGGCTGCCCTTTTTATCCAGTTCTGCATGGAAATTCCAATGGTAATCCAATCAGGAAAAAAAGAATTACTCCAACACCGTTGGCAAATAATGTGTTTTAGGCATAATTACTGAAACACATTTACTTACCAGTGGTTACCAAAATATATTCCTGGTTGGATTGTGACAGGGACTCCCTATGGACCTTTGCAAAGAGGATGAAAACTCAAATTTGGGCCAACTATATCAAGACCAACACAACTCCATAGAATTTTAGCTAACTTCCAAATCATATCAATAAAATGTGTTGGTACCAAGTAATTTTGACATAGTCATTAAAAGACTTGAAATGTACTTCAAGCTGCATTTGGTTATAATATAAATAGATTAGAAACGAAATTACCACAGGATCAGAAGAAGCTCCGGTACAAAGGGCAAAGCATATGAGTGGTTGAGAACTTTGAAGGCCAAGCTTCGAATATAGAAGTTGTCTTTCTTCCCCTGCTTTCTTTCTCATGGCAGCTGAAAGGATGGTCTCAAACCACTGCAAATAAATAAGACTAGAAAATTATATATGGTGGCAAGAAGAAAAAAAATTTTTGTAATATCTCACCTTCAAAATAAAAAACTACAATTTCATCAATGCCAAAGTTTACATGTGTACTATTGGAAGATTCATTTCGATGCAAAAGGGAAAAAACAAACCATGGGGAATAGACCAAATATCATTCAGATTCTCATTAGATGGCAATATTCAAAATTCTATGTTGTCACAGAGATATGTTTTATTGGTCTAAAAGGTCAAAATAACTAAAAGAGTCACATTGGTGAATTTTAGCTTTAGGAAGGTTGAGCTTATAATGCCAGTTTTCTTACAGTCTAGGTTTACAGCATCTAAATTTGTTTAAGTCCTAGGAAATAGAATTGTGTGTCTTTTAATTACTGTTTTAAATAGGATCTCTTATTGTAGTGAAATTTAGGCTTCTGAATGTGGAATTCAAATTATGAAGTGTTTCTCTTGTTACCAGCTTGGTACAACCTCTCCTGATCTTTCTCTTTAATCTATTTTCTACTTATTTATTATTATTACATATATCGGCATCATAATTTTACAAATTTCTCTTTTCTAGTTATCAACTGTTGCTGTCCAGAATTTATGATCTTAATCCATCTGGTATTCCCTGAATCCAATCATATGCAACGTATGTGAGGTGCACAAACTGACAAAAATATCTATCCTTTTCAGATCTTATATGCCCCAAAGCATCCTGACAAAGGTAATCCTACAGATCCTGCGATTGACTTTTTTTAATGATTTATGTCCAGAAAAAGCAAATTTTATTGTGCTTAGTCTGATCTTAATCAAAGATTCTTTATGGGAGAAAACCATAAAGTAATAAGTTCAAAATTTAAATAGAACTATTGTCAAGGAAATAAGACAAAATTATGGCACAAAGTGCATGTTTTGTGTTGGTGCATGTAAACAGAAGTGTGCTGTGATTGTGTAAAACAGGCATCAAGAATAGTTTGATACCCTGCCAATTCGGGGGGTACGGAATCTGAATATAGATTGCTCAATGACATCTGTACTAATGGCATGCCCTCCAATGTTGTAAGTAGCCTGTACCAAACAGAGAAACCATCAATTATTTTAATAAAAATGGTTAGATCCACGTATGATTAGTGACCACTCATTTGCTGATTAGAATATAAGAATGGTAAAACAAAAGAAGATTTGGATACATGAAACTGATTGGTGCAAGAAGAACATTGAAGAATGAAGTGCACTACCTTGTGAAACAGGGCCATCCTTCTCACTGAACCATGTGGAATTCCGTATGCTAAGTATGCCTATACAATCCGTAAGTGTTACATAGGCACAGATAGATAGATAGCGAGAGAGAGAGACAGAGATCCAATTACAAAATATTTACATGCATAATAAGAGAATTGTACACATTGATCCAAAATGCCATTTGTGCATTGCCTCCAATTTGACTCACATTCACTCTCTCCAATTGTTCCACTAAGACCCTGAAATTGGAAAAGCAAAGAACAGCAGTTCTTTATGGCATGCCTATAAAAGGAATAAACCAAAGAATAAATCCAATGCATCCATTGGTAGGTCATAAATATGGTTTCCTAGTGCAATATGAAACAACAGAATATATGCATGGGGATGCAAGAATCACTGTTTGATGGAGCTCACTGATGCAAATGCAGTTTAAATGATTACTGCCTAGGGGAAGAAGCGCTATTGTAACTAGAAGGTGATGGATTGATTTCTCAGTCATGACCTATTGAAGGTTTTAATTAAGGCTGGTAATTTGGATTGTTAAGAAAGGGTAAAGTCTACATGGGTTTTCATAAAGTAAATTTAATAAATATCATAGTCAATATCTTGGAAAGCATAGTCCATGGTCAAGTATTGAAATGATTTTTGTGGTATTTCCTATGTAAATGAATGTATTGTTCTTGGAAACACAAGAAATGTAAATTGAGAGTTTTCATAGGGACTCTATATATATGGATCTAAGAACAGTGTTTTAAAAGTGCAAGGCGCAAAAAAAGTGCAGGGGTCAATTTGTGCCTGAGGCGCAAGGCGAGGCATGCGCCTTTTTAAGCAAGGCACAAAAATAAAAAAGGCTAAAAAATAAAAAAATAAAAAATGCCAAAATTTTCAAAAAATGCAAATAATCAAAATATTATTAAACATAATATTAATAAAAATATAAACTTTAATTTTAAAATAAATGTTTTTAAAAAACTATTATCTAATATTAAAATACATAAATATAACATGTAAAGCATATTCAAACAAGAATTTAAAAATAATATCAAATATATAAAACATTTTCAAGCATATAAAACCCACCTCTCTTTTTTTCTCAATTGCATTACTTCAAGTAGCTAATGCGATGTAAAACATATTACATTCCTGATTCTACAAGCCGCCTTTGTACCACGCCCCTTGAGGCAAGCCCAAACAAGTCCACATTAGGTCTTAAATCCTTAATTCTCACACAAAAAATAATAGTTTTATAGTTTTAATTGCTTTTTAAGAAGACATTTTATTAGAATGAACACATTCATTTTTATCACCTCTGCTTCAGTTGTAGGTTTTTGATCAAAGATTTTACTATTTATTCCAAACCATAAAGTCCACATGATTGCCAGTGGAATAGATGACCAGCACACTTCCCCTTTTTAGTCATTCTGCAAATCGGCCGCTCTTCCAATTGTGCTTTCATAGTACCTGGGAAGCACCAGTTTAGATTAACAGCCTTCAAAAAATGGTTCCACATCGCTGTACTGAAATTGCAATGCAAAAATAGGTGGACTGAGTCTCTGTTTCCAGATTGCAGAAAGAGCACAAAGGTCTAAAATATTGAACCTCTCTTTATGAGCATCTCTTTAGCAAGGCACTTTTCCAAGGCTATAACCCAGACAAAAAACTTGACCTTCGAAGAGGCCGCAGATCCCCAGATTGCTTTGCTTGGAAACTCATCTTGAGGTTCACCAATTAGTCCTTTATAAAAGGATTTGACAGTGAAGCCACCAGACTGATTCCACTTCCAACATTTTACATCCTGAGAATGCAGGTCCAGGAGATGGTTCTAAAGCTTGGCTAGGAACTCAGCCACCATCTCAATCCCCCAGTTATTAAAACTTCTTATGAAAAGGGATTCCAGATAATTCTGTTGCCTTCCAGCACATATGATTCAGCAAACAAGGCCAATTTGCTTTCAGCCATATTGTAAAGGGCAGGAAATAAGTCCTTTAATGCTCTTTCTCCGTACCACGGATCTAACCAAAACATTAACCTCCTTCCATCCCCTTATACTTTATGCCTCTGCTGAACTTTGAATAAACTTTAGATTTTCCTTTCCACACACCACATCCATATTTCTCTGCAATTACTTTTCTCCAAAGATTGTTGGGTTCCAATGAGAATCTCCACAGCCCTTTGCCTAGTAAGATTCCTAGAGCCCATGAGAAATAGGCTTGAAAACCTGTTCCCAGTTCACCAAATACAATTTGGAAGAATCCCTTCATCCAAGCCATAAGAAATCCCTCACTTTTTTTTTTTTTTCTGCCACCTCCAAGAAAATTGGAAACAATGACATGCAATATGGAAGATTTGTCAAAACACATTTGATGAGTGTGACCTTACCCCCTTTTGAGAGGTACTGAGCTTTCCAAGCTGCCATCTTCGTGTCCATCCTTTCTAACATTGGATCTGAAATGGCTTTTCAGGTGCATTTAGTTCCTAGGGGCAATCCCAAGTAGGAAAGCTACCAACCTTGTACCTTAATATTTCAGCCAGTTCATGAACATCAGTGAACCTCCCAACTGATAACATCTCACTTTTGGATAAATTGACCTTCAGACCTGACACCATCTCAAAACAGTATAGGATGCGTCTTTAATTAAGCACCTGATCTGGAGATGTATTGTAGAAGAAAAGTGTATCATCTGCAAATTGCAATAGAGGAATTTTAGTGCCATTGCTACAGCTTTCAAAACCCTCCAACCAACCAAAGTCTGGAGCACTCTATCAGCCAATTTGCTTAATGAGAAATATCGAGGGTGACAGTGGATCATCTTGCTTCTTTGATTAGTTCAGACTTCAGACAATCATAATCAGCTTATTTTATGCTACTCTCTTCTTTCTTTTCTTATTGTAAGATTCAATGTACTGTTGCTTTGCTTCTTGATCTTGGATTTTTGTTGTTACCTTTGATCCTTGACATCACTCACCTAGGGATTTTGTAGGTTGAATGGTCATCATGATTAAGAGTGTCTGAAATAGTTAAATAGCATCATATCAAACTTCAAAAAAGATGGTCAATTTTTATGGATTTTACAATTAGCTTATCCGACAAGGTCATTATTTTGGTGGTTTTATCAGATGATAAGTTTCCTCTTTCATTGTATAAGCTAAAATGTTTTACTAGATCATTTGCCTACCTGATGATCACTGTTAATGATTGAATCACCAAAACGAAAGATAGGAAAATTGACATTCTATTTTTTTTTTCTCTCATCCCAACAAGTGTGGGGATCCTACCTATAGTTGTTGATAGCATAAGAAGCATGAAAGCATTGATTCTTATCAGTTGATATCCAAGGTATTTCTACCACAGATTTGCAAGACCAGTCCCTGGTTGATGACCTTGACAATAAAGGAGAACGGTTTTTTTCTGGCTTTGTGGATGCCACACTATGTAGCCAGCAGTATATTGCAGCCATACACCTCACCAAGTCCTCAGATAATTTGCTTGGGCACTGATAGAGATGATCTTTCAGAGTATGTGCTAAAGAAATTTTCTCCACACCTGGATTCTTTTCATAAACCTGTTGCAAATTGGGAAATGCAGGATTAACACAACCAAGTAGATATTGTATGGCATTGCTAGGTGGAGTAGGCATCATTTCTAGCTAGTTTAATTATGTGTAAATATACTTGGGGAAATATAATTTTGTTTTCATGAAGGATGTACAAAATTTTGTTCATGCCATCAATTTGTAGCCATTTCTGAATATATAGACTGTCTAATTGATGAGTAACCTCTTAAAACTATTAAGTGTCCTCATCCTTAGTTCATATACATCAGTTAAGTTATTCTCATATAACATAAATAAGAAGTGAAAATTATGACTCCTATTGCATTGATATTGATATAGTTGTCGGAACTATAAAGATTGCAAAGTTTCCCAAAACTCAAGGAATAAATTCATGGAGTTGGCAGTGTAATTTTAAAAATCACCAAAGAATCTGGTATCTTATAGAACCTAATTGCCATTGGCATAATAAAATGTTATATTTTTACAGATAAACTTCTTAATGAAAATTTAGAGCTTGTAATGCATGGTGGTTATCAGTATCTGGTGTGCAAGCAAGGAAGGGAATGCAAAAATAGGAAGAAAATCTTGAAGTATAGACTGAAACTGATAAGACCCGCTACTAACTGTCACCGGTGAGCTGGTTCGAGGGAGCTCGTCCTCCTGAAATGGACGAGAGGAAGAAGACGAGAGAAGAGAAAGAGAAATTTCAAAGATTCAATCACTGCCCCTCATGCATTCATTCATTGGCCTAAATGGCCAGCTAACAACCTGTAACCTATTCTGAGCATTTAGACAGTCTATGATTACTTTTTTAATACGTGGCATCGGGTGTATACGAATGTAATGGGTGGTGTCACCCGCGTGATTCGTGGGGGTGTTCTGGACTAACGCATGGGCCTGTTGGGCCTGACTAGCTCTGCCTAGGTCTTCTCCTCCCTGAGCCTAACATTCCCATCTCCTTCGAGAATGACCTTGTCCTCAAGGTCGAGGGTGGGGAGCTGCTTCTGAAGTTGGTTATTTCCTCCCACGTGGCACCTCTTGAGGCAAGCCACGCCATATGACTAGAGCCTGCTTAAGGACCTTACTGCCCTTTCAAACCCAACGCAAATCTTTGATCACCAGTGGCTCGAACACCACTTCCCCGGTCTCTGTGAATTGTGGAAGGGTGGGGCTGATAACATCGGTGGAAGCCAAGCACGGCTTCAGAAGGCTGACAGGGAAGACGGGGTGCAGCTGGCACTCGGTAGGCAAGTGGAGACGGTAGGCCACAAGCCCAATTCGCTCTACTACCTGAAATGGGCCGAAGTATCTGGGATGCCCTCTTCACCCGAGAGGTCTGTCTATACGGTTGGAGCTGTAGATAAACCCAGGCCCCAACTGAGAACTCTAATTCCTGATGCTTCTTGTCATAGGCTAATTTCCTTCGTTGTTGGGCTGGTTGTAAGTGGAATTTGAGGAGCTTGAGTGTACTGTCTCTTGCCTGTAATGGTGTCTCCACCTCGGCTACCGGTGGAGTGTAGGATGGAAGGAGGTTCGTAACCGTACAACACATTAAAGGGGGCCATTCCAGTTGAAACCTGGAACGTGGTATTAATATTCAGCCCACGGCAACCAGTAGGCCCACTGTTTGGACTCCTCCCCAATGAAGCAACACATATACGTTTCAGAGGCACCTGTTAACCACCTCGGACTGCCCATCAGTCTTCTTTGGCGAGGGCATACCTAAGGCAGGGACAATGATGACAATGTCAAATCTCTTCATTGTAGCCACAAGACGAGCACTAATTAATCCAACTCCAAACTGCCTGAGCATTCTCACAACAACAGCTTCCACCCAGATATAGGATATGGCACCATCGGAGATGCTAGAATGGACAACGTGAACAACGACTACGTTAAGGATGCCTGGATTCTCACCATTACCTATCTTTTCACCCTTTCGTTGTTGACCTGTGTGTCAAGGTCCTGTTGGAACCAAAACCCAAATCATTGAGTCCGCTTTAGCTATTTTGACATCACTGTCAATGATCGAAAGAGTCTGCCGACATCGTAACATCTTGGTGGAAGCAAGCACACGTCCTACGTGATCTTCGTTGTCGAAGGTTCCTTGACCACTGGGCTTAACTCCAATAATGAACCAGAACTCATGGTTGCCACTAGGGAGCGAGGGTACATTCATCATCACTGATTTGTCATTAAGCAATATCCTTACCTTGCATCTGATAAGGTTTGCTTGAATTGTATTGGAAATAATAATTCGGGCTGTTAGTAGGATCGAAGGATGCCAAGGGACGCTATACCGAGGAGGGTCCCATCCACTGAAATGGAAGGGGAAAAGAACAGGGATCTGTAAAACTAGAGGGTGGGCAGATATGGGTTTCAGGAGGCATGGTGGGATGGATCGGGTTATGGTTGCTGCCAACGAACATGATGTCCAGCGGTTGAGCAACTGAGACGGACCTTGGCTGGGTATGAACATGCTCGATTTAAGGGAGAGTGAGAGGGAAGAGAACGGGGACCAGGGGTTGAGCTTCGGGGATTTCCATGGATGGGGTGACGAATTGACTAGGGTTGGGATGTTGGTAGATCTTGGTCGGGGTTATACTCTTCACACTGCCCTTCTGAACCTCCCCTATTCTGTCACCTAGCATCACTGAGCTCGGTGCTGGGATTGAAGTCTCTTCTACTGTTGATGATCTGGTTCGTTATGGGTTTTCCAACGCTCTCTATCGGCTTCGATCCTCCATTTTCTCCAGAATTAGTGTTGACGGAAGGAGCTCGGCGACTACGCTCTTCTAGAGGACCGATCATCGTGTCCAGCTTGCCTAAAATCATCTTCAACTGGGCCAAAACCCCTTTCTGAATCCTCTGATTTTCCTCAAGACGACTGAGACGGTCTTCAAGCCTCGTCATTCACGCATCCATGGATCTGGATGGTTCTGATACCAATTGATAAGACCTGCTACTATCTGTCACCGGTGAGCTGGTTCGAGGGAGCTCGCCCTCCTAAAATGGACGAGAGGAAGAAGACGAGAGAAGAGAAAGAGAGGGAGTTAGAGAGAGAAAGAGAAATTTCAAAGATTCATTCGCTGCCCCTCATGCATTCATTCATTGGCCTATATAGTAAATGGCCAGCTAACAAACTGTAACCTATTCTGAGCATTTAAACAGTCTATGATTACCTTTTTAATACGTAGCATCGGGTGTATACGAATGTAATGGGTGGTGTCACCCGCGTGATTCGTGGGGGTGTTCTGGATTGACGCATGGGCCTATTGGGCCTGACTTGCTCCGCCTAGGTCTTCTCCTCCCTGGGCCTAACAGAAACTTTTGCATGACTAAAACATTGGTAATTATTCCATTTAGTAAAGTCCTTGCAATACAGACCACCATTTATTAAGCCCAAGATTTGGCTCCTAAGTTGGGGATCTTAGGATGGTCTCATTTGTATGACTTATTTTATTCCTTATAACCAAGCTTTGGCTCATAGGTTCAATCTTGTTGATCAATTCATTGATGAAAGCTGTAAATGCTTTTAAACTAAGATGCTTCTTCTTTTCTTTTTCTTTTACAGTTTTGGCCTATTCTTCTGTTCATGATTCACCTTTATACTCAATTTGATTTAGAAGTAAAAGGACACAAAAATAGCACAAAGTGCTGCTTCCATCTAACATTTTTTCAGTTCTTGTGGTCCTAGATCTGGACCTTCTATCTAGGTGGACCTTGGCAGTGTTTGGTTCCTCAAAAAATAAATGAGAAAGGAAAAGGTGTGGGAAACACAATAATAATAAATAATAGGAATAAAATTTTGACACATCATTTCATTTTTTGTGGTATTATTTTGTTCCTTTATAATATTTTTCTTAGCATTTCTTGACAAACCACTGCAATGTTAAGTTATCTTTTATTGGGTGACAAATCTGACCTAACCTTCTTCGAAGTTGAAGTGCCGGTATGAGGGCTCCCACAAATGTACTTCTAATGAGGCCAGGCTGTCTGTTGTCCCTGGGTTTGCAAATGGGCAAGGAAGAAGATTTGCTTGTGTAATTTTTAGTGATTGCTTTCAAGAAAGAATCTCCAGTTGATATTTCCATTGTTTTGTAGTATACCTTGTGATGAAAGGGAAATTTGGCCCGACCTCGCGATCGCCCGACACGTGGCAAAGGCAAGCAGCTCGGGACAGTAGAGCGCCCGAAGCGAACATCGGAAGCAAGTCCAAGCTCACTACCGAGCTGAACTCCAGACCGCTGTACTGAGTCCGAGCTCCCTGTTAAGAGCGAGCTCCTTGTTAAGGGTCCGAGCTCCCTAAGTAAGAACCCGAGCTCCCTAAGTCCGAGCTCCCTGTTAAGAGCGAGCTCCCTGTTAAGGGTCCGAGCTCCCCAAGTGAGGACCCGAGCTCCCTAGAGTCCGAGCTCCTTGTTAAGGGCCCGAGCTCCCTAAAGTCCGAGCTCCCTATTAAGAGTAAACTCCCTACCAGGAGTCCGAGCTCCCTATTAAGAGTAAACTCCCTACCAGGAGTCCGAGCTCCCTATTAAGA